AAATGTTAATTATTGTAATATTTTAATATTTAATAAGAATTGATTGTGATTAGACGGACAAGATTTAAACAATATAGTTTACATACTTTCACCGTTTAAAATGAATTTAACTTAGCTACATTATGAATTTTTAATCGGCAATACAAATGCTGGTTGTGTATTTTCCAAGTTTCTTTCGCATGGGGTAAGAGACGTTTCTTTGCCTTCATCAAGGTTACCAGGCTGTTTCAGATTCTGTGACCTATAGTAAAAGTGTGTTCCAGTAAAACCAACGTGTTCGAGTGTGTGTCATTGTGTTCAGAGTGGGAACGGAATTCGGTTTAGTTTATCAAAAAAAGTTATTATAAACCCACACGTTTTGTGTTTCAGGTGAACTTACGTCCTGCAACACGACCCATCCTAGTCCACAAACAGTATCGAAATGACGAAGGTAAGTCGAGTCCATTGAGATTGTTGGGGTTCGCTGAGACTAATTTCTATGAAACTGACATCTATAGGGCCCTTTACCTTTCCCTTAGGTGATAAATTTATATGGACCAGCGACGGCGTAATATTGACAGGGGAAAGCCATATTTCTCGGAGAAAAACCTGTCCTAATGTCATTTTTTCCATCATAATTATTACGTGAACTGACTTGGGAACGAACTCGGGCCTCCCAGATAAGGAGGCTAACAATATAGTAGCAGATGAGATCGATTAGATATATTACCTTTTTGCAAGAATAAGAATATGAATTTGTTATCTTAAAGTCTCATACGGAGGATTTATCCAGACTCAAAAGAGTTTAGTGGACATGTGCTGTCTTATAATCTAGTTGCTATGTCCAAAGAAAATAGGTCTCTTTTCTGACGATTTCTTATTCTGTTTTTATGTAAAATTTCCAGTAGTCTCATCGATAAGTCTTTCTTGGTTACATTAATTTATTAGTCGAATTTGATGATTAGTTGATGATACTTTATCGACCTTATCATAAGTCTGCATACATTCTAAGAAGCAAACTTAGGCCATGAATTTCGTGATTCGTGTATCTACGTATGAATATATTTTTATTAACCCTAAACAATTTTAGGTGTTTTATACAAAGTAATCCTTGCACGTGGTCAGGTCAAAGTATGGGACAGGCGAGGAACTTGTGAAAAAGTGAGGTTACCGATGTGTTGTTAGTCAACAATATTAGGCCGACTAAAATATATACGGCTGAGCTGTTAGTAGGCTAGCAGAGACTGGTCCTTTTGAGGCTGCTGTTGAAAATTTCAAAAGCAATATCGTCAGATGTTTATGAATTCAGAAATAACTGATCCAAACAGGAGGTAAAACATTACGTTGCAGTTTCTAATTCTACAGACCGTTTCAAAATTTGGGAAATGCCAGCCACCGTGCAATCCAGAATCTTTTACTTGTTCAATTTTATCAGTCTAATCACAATAAAATATTATTATTAAATATTAAAATATTACAATTAACATTTAAATGTTTAAAATATATTAAAATGATGCTCTCTATCGAAATGTAATATTTAATAATAATATTTTATTGTGATTAGACTGATAAAATTGAACAAGTAAAAGATTCTGGATTGCACGGTGGCTGGCATTTCCCAAATTTTGAAACGGTCTGTAGAATTAGAAACTGCAACGTAATGTTTTACCTCCTGTTTGGATCAGTTATTTCTGAATTCATAAACATCTGACGATATTGCTTTTGAAATTTTCAACAGCAGCCTCAAAAGGACCAGTCTCTGCTAGCCTACTAACAGCTCAGCCGTATATATTTTAGTCGGCCTAATATTGTTGACTAACAACACATCGGTAACCTCACTTTTTCACAAGTTCCTCGCCTGTCCCATACTTTGACCTGACCACGTGCAAGGATTACTTTGTATAAAACACCTAAAATTGTTTAGGGTTAATAAAAATATATTCATACGTAGATACACGAATCACGAAATTCATGGCCTAAGTTTGCTTCTTAGAATGTATGCAGACTTATGATAAGGTCGATAAAGTATCATCAACTAATCATCAAATTCGACTAATAAATTAATGTAACCAAGAAAGACTTATCGATGAGACTACTGGAAATTTTACATAAAAACAGAATAAGAAATCGTCAGAAAAGAGACCTATTTTCTTTGGACATAGCAACTAGATTATAAGACAGCACATGTCCACTAAACTCTTTTGAGTCTGGATAAATCCTCCGTATGAGACTTTAAGATAACAAATTCATATTCTTATTCTTGCAAAAAGGTAATATATCTAATCGATCTCATCTGCTACTATATTGTTAGCCTCCTTATCTGGGAGGCCCGAGTTCGTTCCCAAGTCAGTTCACGTAATAATTATGATGGAAAAAATGACATTAGGACAGGTTTTTCTCCGAGAAATATGGCTTTCCCCTGTCAATATTACGCCGTCGCTGGTCCATATAAATTTATCACCTAAGGGAAAGGTAAAGGGCCCTATAGATGTCAGTTTCATAGAAATTAGTCTCAGCGAACCCCAACAATCTCAATGGACTCGACTTACCTTCGTCATTTCGATACTGTTTGTGGACTAGGATGGGTCGTGTTGCAGGACGTAAGTTCACCTGAAACACAAAACGTGTGGGTTTATAATAACTTTTTTTGATAAACTAAACCGAATTCCGTTCCCACTCTGAACACAATGACACACACTCGAACACGTTGGTTTTACTGGAACACACTTTTACTATAGGTCACAGAATCTGAAACAGCCTGGTAACCTTGATGAAGGCAAAGAAACGTCTCTTACCCCATGCGAAAGAAACTTGGAAAATACACAACCAGCATTTGTATTGCCGATTAAAAATTCATAATGTAGCTAAGTTAAATTCATTTTAAACGGTGAAAGTATGTAAACTATATTGTTTAAATCTTGTCCGTCTAATCACAATCAATTCTTATTAAATATTAAAATATTACAATAATTAACATTT